TAGTAGTAGTAGTAGTAGTACCTAGACAACCCCAGGGTGCATAAAAACCATACATTTCAGAATTAATGGTTTTGGAAAGCATACCCCTGAAAAAACGTAATATTACCTTTCTTGGCTTTTCTGCGGTTTTACAAGGTTTTGACAAGCAGAGCAAGAGAGCACATGTGATTCAGTATGTTCAGATCGATGCTTGCAAGAGCTTTTGGGGTTCTAGCTACAGCTATCGCTAGCTTCCTGTCTTTGCAGCACGGATCTGGCAGGTGCGCCCTCCGCTTTTTGATTCCCCATTTTGGAACTGCTCTTGAATGTTTGTCTTGGACAATTCTTGAAAGCTGATGCTCTGCAAAGCTGACTGCTCAATTGAAGAACTAGTGTGCCAAGTAGAATGGCTTCGAAGATTCTAGCCCAACGCACCTCCTTGGGCTTGGAAGTGGCGCACAAAGCAGGACTTAGGGCAGACAGAGTTCGCATATGGGAAGCTTTGACAAATCAAACCAGGCCTATAAACACCCCTGATAGGACTGATGGTCATGCTCATGAAGCTTCCGAACTCGTTTTGGGATGCTTCAGCTGAAGCTTTGTATGGACTCCCGCAGGACATGCATGAGTAGTTCCCCAGAATCTATGATGATGACTTAATTTGTGACTGTCCAGGACCTTCCTGGTCCAGATCAGCTCCTTACCGATGTGGTCCAGAATATTAAAGCAGGTGGCATCTGCAAACACTTCGTGGAGTTGTTCGACGAGGGCAAAGGATCCGAGATGTTTACTTAGATTTTATTGGGGAGGGTCTGACACACTTCAGCTGATTGTGCATTGATATTCCGTGACTTTCTTCGTGGCACTTGCATGATTATGTGGTAGACTCGTCTTTGATTGCTGTTTGCCTGGAGGAGGGGTGGTGGTCCAGATCAACTGATCATTGGGCAATCAGGATAGGGTTCACTGCAGGCAGCTGTGAATTATCGCTAGGCTGAGACTGGCGAAATTCGGTCTGCTGTCAGAATGTGCTGAGGGGGGAAAACAGTTATAATCATCTTGCTTCACGCACAAGCTTCCTTGATGAGGGCAGCAGCACAGACTCAAGGCTTTTTTCAAGCTTGCACGCACGCAGGTCGATGGTGGTGTTCGGCTGAATTTTGATCCACCTCGGCTGGGACTGGAGGTGCGCCCATGTATATTGATTTGCAAGGGCTGCTCCAATTGTAGTTGCATATAATGACCTGTCCTCTGCAGGTGAGCGCATGGCTGGCTGGATTGTGTTCATTTTCATTGCTTTCTGGTCTGGGGCTTAAATGTGAAGGTTTGAAAGGAATCTGAGGGAGGGTATTGCAGGGCTTCTGACCGGATAAGGTCTCTCTACGCTGATATCGACGGATGCTTTTCCTGGAAGGCTGGTCAATCAAGTTTGAACAGCTCAGTAGACAATGCAAAAATTTTGCCTGAAGATGTTCCTCCTTGGAGGTGCTCAGCTCAAGTTTGCAAACTTCAACAGGCTAGCGCCTCAGGCAACTTCGGCTACTATATAAAGCATGCCTGAGTTTGTTACGGCATGGTGATCACCTCAAACGCTACACTATGCAGGTTGACTGGGGCTCAGGTGCTGGCTGTACTTAAGCTAGGTTAATGGCTGAAGCTGAGGGAAGGGATGAAGGTGCCATGGCACTTCGGGTACGTCGCCAGCCAAGCAGCATACCTTGGCCGGAAAAGGGGTTGCTGGCCAAAGCATGGGAGGAGGATGCTGGGGTGCGAGAAATGTTCAGAGCCAACAAAGAGCACTTGCTTGCCTGGCCAACTCCACAATTGGTAGGGGTGGCATCCTTGAAGGCGTTATCCCTCAACGTTGGAGTGGTGAAGTTGGCTATCGAGGTGTGGGGCAGTGTCTGTACCCAAGCAAAAAGTATGGTCGTAGACTGGCTCAAGCAAGAGGCCCGGGCTGGCTAAACAAACCACCGTATATGAAACATTGTGATCGGGGCCTCAAGAAATTTAGATATAGACTGGCCATATGGTGTACTAACTTGATATTCTGATATTGGGGAACCCAGGATTTTCAAGGAGTGCGTGCTCACTAAAAGGCTGATGTTGTTCTACAATTGTTTTCGTTAAGCCCCTGCAGGTCTCTGGCCTGCACAAGCTCCTCCACCCTGGTGTGGGCAATCGCACTGTAGCAATCTACGTTGATGCTTGGGGAATCAAAAGATTGGCTACACTAGCCCTCCGGCGTTGGAAATCTCCTGTGGGAGCTTTGCGAGCCACTTATCAGGATTCAGGGTATCATGATCACAGCTGCGGCGTCACATAATGCGCAGATTGATTGTAGCTGAGGATCAGAGCTTGCACATCCTATTTGAGGTGATGACTGCGGCTTGGGGTGTTGATCAGGAAGAGGACGCGGAAGATTCTGCGCTTGATCCGGACAGGTGTCCTGAGGTTGAAAATGATGATGATGGTGACTCTGCAGGGGTTCTAGCAGAGACTGCAGCCGAGTCTCCAGCAGAGATTTCAGCAGTGTCCCCACCAGAGATTTCGGCAGTGTCCCCACCAGAGATTCCAGCGGGGGCTCCAGAATCAGTAGTGGAGATTCCTTCAGCAGTGCCATCTGATGCTGGATTGGATGATGAGATGGCAGCAACACAGTGGCAATTGCGGATTCTTCAGAACCTAGGCAGAGATAAACATACAATTGCTCTCATATTCTAGGCCCATTACAAGTAAGCTTCCCCATAATTTCCTTGGGCCTGTATATGGAAAGGTTGTCCCCTATACTTCTGACATCCCAGGAACGCGTTGGACTTTCGCCGGCAAGCAGCACGTGGCGACTTGGATGCCCACGCAAAAGCCATCTAGTGCGCAAGCTAGATGTCGAGTTGTCTAGCAGACTGCAAGAGATCATAGTCAAATACAATTAAGGCAACCCTGATTTCAATGACACAGTGCCGCATGATATCATGCAGTATGAGTTCAACTTGGGAGAGCACATTGAGATCATCAGCGATGATGAGGGGGTTCCTTTTCAGCAAGGGGAAGTTGAGGATCAGGTAAGGCCCGCGAGTATGATTACGGATGCTGCTGATGCCCCTCCTGCCGCCACAGCTTCCCCAGATCCCACTAACGTGTTGCAGCAAGATGCACCCCCAACCCTTCCCCCTATAGAGGCCGTTAATGAGCCTTGCTGCCCCCCGCCTGTTGAGGACACCGAAGGCCCCCACCAATTGCAGCAACAAGCCTCAGAGGACAAGCCCCAGGATAGTGGCAACTTTGATGTCATGACCTACCAGGCTATGTTCCCCAAAAGCATAACTAACGAAAAGAAGTAATGCACTTATAGGTGATTGATCCCTATACCCTGCGCAGGGCAACCCATCTCGCATCGAGCAGGTCAAGGTTTCTCAGACTGTGCGAGGGCATGGAAATCACCCGCAGGACCAGGAGATGGAGTCTGACGAAGATGATGCCAACAAACCCAAGAAACGCCCTGCTGCAGCCAAGTCTCGTGGACGTGGTCGAAGCAAAAGTGCTCAGTCAGGACGGGGACGGGGAAGAGGCCGTGGTCCTGGCCGTGGCAAAGCCGCAGCAGAGGAGTGCAAGACCAACACCCCTCCAAAGTCTAGGAAAGCTAAGCGCCCTCAACAGGACACCGAGCTCGAAACCCCGCCCAAGGATCCCGAGCCAAAGAACAAGGCCAAACCCAGGACAAGTAAGGATGACGTTGAGGCTCCTGATTAATCATCCCCCAAAGCAAAGCGAGCCTGCAAGCCCAAAGCTGCCCCCAAGCAGCCAGCAAGCGCCGAAGCCTCTGGAAATGATGAGCCCGCTAGCACTAAGAAGCGCCAGCGTCACAATGAAGACGAGAAAAGCTTTGCCAGGCGTGCTAGGCCCAAGCAGGAAGATTCA